ACACATCAGTAAGAATGCTTTTGGTTGCAGTAGTAGAAAACCAAATTCAAACTAGCTTAAGCGATAAAAGGGTCTCATTGGTTATCATAAAACTCCAGGCACAGGGCAGGCATCGAGCACTGTGGAATGCCAGCGTGCCCTTCACTTCTCTCATGGTCAGAGATGGCCATCAGAGGGTCTTCTCCCATGGCCCCTGAAGCAAAGTCTGGGCTCTGGGCCAAATTGGGCCCCTACTGAACCAATTCCTGTGGCCAAGTGAATGCCACATGCTGATTGGCTTAGGATTCAGCTACTGCACCAGTACCTAGGACACAGGCGATAAGATTAAACCGATTGGCTTAGAACAGTCAAGTCTCACCCCCGGGGCAGAGGTGGTCTCCAAACTCTAAGATCAGAGGGGTGGAAAGGGTGTTGGAGAGCGGTACACTGACAACCAGATTCAGGAGGGGGCTGTGCCCTCCCCTTCCTCTCAGGTCCAATGAAATCAGTATGTAATGACTTCTTACAGTATGTCATGGCCTGTGTTTGAAATAAAGATGCTATGGGCTGTCATGCTGTAACCGATGATCGCTGGTATTGGGCCAGAGGACCAAGGCCAGTACCAGACTTGTCCCTAATAACACCCGTCCCTCGCATCCCTAAGGATGTGTGCACAGAAGAGGCAAACCAGCGCAGATACACTTGATCCTCAGCCTGGCTGCAGTGGAGCTGGCTGGTCCTTCAGAAACTTCCTTTATCTGGGTAGGCAGGCCTGAACAGCTCAGACCAAAAGCAGGCCAAAATGCCTACGCTGCCTGCTTCCGCAAGCCCAAACCTGAGAGCTGGATCCCACCGCCTCTCTGCCTACAAGGAAAGGCCAGAGATTCCTGAAGGCATCAGAAGGGAGCATGGGAACCAGCAGGAAGCCTTGGCACCAGGGCCACCCTTCTCAGGCCAGGAAAGAAGCCCCCAAGGGCCCACAGCTCTCTGGGAGAAGACAGAGCCCTTGCAAAGACAGAGAGAGCTCTATGATCTGCCAAACAAAACAGGAAAGAGACCACACCACCTCAGTAGTCCCGGGTGCAACGCAGTAGACTTTTAACGCTTCACCCCTAGACTCCACCCCTAGAGCAGGTGAGCCAAGCAAAATTTCAGCACTTTGTGGGGAGGAGGGCTGTGGAGGGTAGAGTTTGAGGTGGGTGAGGAATAGTGAGGGAGAGAGGAATGCCTTGCTCCTGACCCACCTTTGAAGGAGCCACAGGGAAAGCTAAGGGCAGAGCGTGGGCTCCCTCTAGAGGCTTCTGTGCATGTATGCATTCATTCATTCACCAAGCCCCTGCACCCCTATTTTGCACCGGGCACTTGCTAGGTGTTGCACATGCAACACTGAAGGAATTAAACGAGGCCTCTGTTCTCACGGAGTGGGAGGTTCTCACCAGACAGTGGAAAACATGAAATCCACTTAGAGCAAATGAGGTTCTGGGGTAGTATAGACCTGCCTCTCCAAAGGTCCTGAACTCCCTGCTGCTGCCTTTAAACCACGGAACTGGGAAGGGCCAGCTGCCAGCCCAAGCTCACTAGGCCAAGCTCCTAAGTCACAGAATAATAAAACCAGAAAAGACACTGGAGATCCCTAAATCCCACCTGCTCGTTTCACAGATGAGAAAACCGAAGCCCAGAAAGAGGAAAAGGCAAAATCCGCATAAAACTAACCGGCATTTGTTGAGCATCTGTGTGTGTCTGATGCTCTGGTAGGAGGAGGACAGCCAGAACCACCCAGATGAGGAGCTTCCCCACCCGATCCCTATGCCCTGGGCACCCGGGGGGCTCCCAGGCCCTTACCCCACAAAAAGGCCTTGGAGGCCATGGTCCCTTGTGTTCAGCTGAAGTCTTAAGGCCTGGAGAGCAGGCTGCAGGGGCTTCAGAGAAGAGCAACCCCCCAGGGAGGAGAAGCGGCTGCTGAAGGCATCCGCACGCGCTGGCACATGAAGTCTACTTTCCATGTGTCTGGAACCAGGCCGAAGCTTCCTGGGGTAATTTTAACCAGTATCCACTCTAGAACAATACCAAAAAAGGTAAGTTACTTGCCAGCCCAGACAGGCACATACCAAACCACTGCCCTTTCACGAATTAGACCCTGAAAACATTCAGAACTAAAGCTGCTTCAGGCACTGAAGTTAGAGCAGCCGAACAAAGTATTCCTGTGCTGGCTGTTGGCCCTTACCCTCAGAAAATAGCCGGAGCCCCTCAGCTGTCTTCGGAGAGGGAAGGTATTTTTAGCCCCTAGAACAGCTGACTTAGGATTTGCTGCAGGAGCTAGGAGGGCAGGGGAGGATTGAATTGCAAGGGGCTAATGGGAGAGGGGGTTGGAATTAGCATCCAGGGGTCAGAAGCCAGCAGGGGCTTTAGGGCAAGTCAGTCCACGCTGCCTTTTTGATCAGCAAAGGGTCTTGGTATAAGCCAGTAGTTCTCAAAGCGTGGTCCCCATACCAGCAGCGTCAGCATCACCTGGGAACCACTGCGTTAGAAAGGCGAAGTCTCAGCCTCCCGCCTCCAACCTACTGACTCAGAACCGCTGTGTGTGGGGCCCAGCAATCTGTATTTAAACAAGCCCTTCGGAGGATTCCAGTGCTAGCTATAGTTTGAGAACCACTGATAGAGCAAACCATCTAACCAGATCCCCTTGTGGATAAGGCTGGATGAAAGAATGATCTTCATTAATGTTCTCAACTCTTGAGTGTTTGTTCAAAGCCAAGAGTCTCCAGCCCAGAAAAACGCACCCACATGAAAATTTAGGTGCTCACTGGCCCAGGTTAAAAACCCCTGCTCTTTGGCAACCTGAAGGCTCTTCTCTGGATCTAGCTCTGACATGCAGAGAATCTGAGTTGAAAGAGACTATGTACATCATCGACTCTACCCAAAGGAGGAATCCGCTCCACAATACTCTTGAGAGGCTCAGCCTTAGCTGGACCCTTCCAGAGACAGGGAGCTCACTGCTTCTAAAGGGCCTCTTTGCAATGGCCCTTGACTTAACTGGGGAGAATCAACTCTTGTTCATTCCTAGATAGGTTTATACCAACCAAGCTCCAATAACGTGGCTGAAATATAGGCTTATAAACCCAAATTAAAGAAAGTAACTGTCCTAAATGGTAGACATGAAATGCAATATTTTTGTAATAACCCATCTCAGCGCTGGAGAACACTGGGTGATGGAAAAATCCTCCTTCACATTGATCGAAATCTACCTCCCACCCGGTTTTGGCTTCAGAGCCACAAGGAGGAAACCCAAAGTTTTGCTTTCCAAAAGACAGCCTTTACTTTTCATTGCCTTGCTCGGCACAGGGGTGCAGGGAGGGCTGTCTCAGAAGATGCAGGTGCAGCCCACGGCGATGGTCTCCATGACTGCACGCTGGCGACAGGGCCCGGTGCGTGGCGGCAGCGGGCAGAGGCGACGGCGCACAGGCACCTGGCTGAACACAGGCACGCTCACCATGCTGCGGTCCTCCTGCATGGTGAAGGGGTTCACGCAGCCCAGACATAGGCACCGCGCCTCCGGCAGGTCTGCAGGAATGCGGCTAGGGTCATGGTTGATGCTGCGGGAAGGCAAGAGAGAGCACAGGGCAGAAGGATGGTTGTGGTAAAGACAAATTAGTGCCCACCCCTGATGCCCCTGCCATTCCTAACCCAGGTTTTGATTGCACAGCAAGACCGTGCCGTGCTGGAGGAAAGGCAGTGGGCTTGCGGACCCGCAGCATCAGCATCACCTGGGAGCTTGTTAGAAATGCAGAATCTCTCCCTACCCCAGACCTCCTGAATCAGAACCTTCATACTCTTAAGATCCCCAAGAAAGTCATGGGCACAGTAAAGTAGAAGCCCAGCTTCGGAGGAGCTTTATGGACCCTTCCAGTTGCCACATTCCAGGTATGGGAGCCACTAGCGACATGTGGCTGTTTGAGCTTAAAATAATCAAAATTAGCTCCCCAGTCACACTAGCCACATTCCAAGTGCTTAGTAGTTCCATGAGGCTAGTGGCTACCATATTGGACTTTACACTGTCACAGAAAGCTCTATTGAACATGCTCTTCTAGAGTCTCAGGACATAAGGTGTGTGGCTAAAGATCTTTGGCCTGGGTTCATGAGTGAGGACCCTTCAGGGTCAGTCCTTTGCTTCATTATTTATTCTCCACATATACACATGGCCCCTTCTGTGCGCCCAGGGGGTGTGCTGGGAAGTGGAGCTACAACCAAGTTAAGACACCACTCCTGTCCCCTAGGGGCAGCAGGTCTTGATTCCCAAGCCCAGCTGTGTATCCTAACCATGTGGAGATGTAGATAATGCCACTTGCTGGGCCTCATCCCTGGAGATTTTGATCGAATGGGGCATGAGAATCCTTAGATGATTCTGATGCAGGCACTGGGATGGTCCCAGTCTAGCGTGAGAGACAGATGTGCACGCAGCCAACTCAGTACTGCCTGGAAGTGCTGTAACTAGAGGTGTGTACAAGACACTCGGAGCTGGAGGACGTGACATTTGGGGAAGGCCTTGCAGGCCCTTCACTGCAGACTTGGAGAACACAACGGCAGTGCCCTGCATGGATATCTCATTTAATAACAAGCCTATGAAGTAGATATTATTATCACCTCCACTTATAGTTGAGGAATCTGAGGCTCAGAGAGGCTAAGCAACTTGCCCAAAGCCACACAGCCAGTAAAAGGCAGAGCCAGGATGCAAACCCAGGCCTCCAAATCCAAGGTCTTAGCTCCTACAATGACAGGGAGAGTGGGCGAGGCATCCCCTCCAGCCCCCAACACACAGCTTACCCACTGCTGCCCAGCCTGGCCTACCTGTAGCCCCAGGGCGACAGGCTCCTCTTGTTGGACAGCCACAGCTGCAGGTTGACCTCACACTTCCTCCTGGCCGGCTCGGAGCTGTTCCTCAGCTGGGCCACCATCTCCCCCAGGTTCCTCTCATATTCCTCCATGCGGGCATATGGCTTTGCCTGGGACACGAGGTCCAGCGGCACCTGGTGAGGCCCAGGGGCCAGGGTCCCAGGCCGCCCTTGCCCCTTCCTCTTGCCTTTGGGGTTCCTGGGCTGGCCCAGCCCCAGGAAGATGGAGATGGTGAGAAGGAATAGCTGAGGAGGAAGGCCACAGGTCAAAGGTGGGAGAGCCAGGTCTCCCTCTGGGCTAAGATTTGGGGCCCAAGGAAGGGGAAAGGAAGAGGCAAGGCCTCTAGCAGGGCCACCCTCACCTGTCATGCCCTGGCCTGGTCCCACCAGCCCACCACATGTGTACAGATGCATGTATGCACCACGCTCATCGCTAAGTCCTGATGCACCTCTTAAGAATCTCCCCAGGGCTTCCCTGGTGGCGCAGTGGATGAGAGTCCGCCTGCCGATGCAGGGGACACGGGTTCGTGCCCCGGTCCGGGAAGATCCCACATGCCGCGGAGCGGCTGGGCCCGTGGGCCATGGCCGCTGAGCCTGCGCGTCTGGAGCCTGTGCTCCGCAACGGGAGAGGCCACAACAGTGAGAGGCTCGCGTACCGCAAAAAAAAAAAAAAAAAATCTCCCCAGCCATCCACTTCACTATCTGTACCACCAGCCTCCCCTTCTTGGACAGCTCAACCAGCCTCCTACCTGGTACCCCACATCCTCCCCTGTCTCCTTCCAATCAATTTGCCACACCCTGGCCAAGGATGGGTGTTTGAAATGCAAACCTATTAACATCACCTGCCCAGGCCAGACCTCTGCTGAGTTCTCCTCCCTCAAATCACTCCTGGCTGCCCCCACACCCGTGCTTCAGCCTCGGGCCTTCTCGCAAACCTTCCTCTCCCCATGCTCCTTTCTGCACAAGGACCTTGCACAGGCTGTTCCCTGCAGAGTCCTGCCTCTCACCCTTCAGGTCTTGGCTCCAGTGCCACTTCCTTAGGGAGGCCTCTGTGGACCTTCTCGGGCTCTCAACACCTGATGCCTCTTGCGTGACTGTAGCCTTACGGTGCATACATGTGATTCTTTCATATGTTGGGCCCACACCTAGCACAGGCTCCATGAGGGCCAGCATCGTATCCGTTCCCACACACTGCCTCGTCCCCTGTGTCTGCACGGTACTGGGCACTTAGGTATTCAGTAAACATTTGCTGAGTGAATGAATGCCTGTCACCATCCCTGCCCATCTGTCGCTTACAGTCTGGCAAGGAAAACAGACGGTGAACAAGAAAACGTGCACCTAAGCCTCGCTAGCAGCAGTGTGTGGATGGGACCACACAGCGTGTGATTAGAAAAGAGCAGGGCCACCCGCTTAGCCTTGTGGCAGTGGGGTGGTCTTGCAAAGACTTTCTGGGGAGGGGGCGTGTCTGGTGAGGTTTGAAGGATAAGACAGAGGCAGATATGGGCAGAGGGAGCCTAAAAATTGTATGGGGTGGGGGAAGGAAAGTGTGAAATGAAGTTTCAATTGGTTAAGAGCTTTGCTGAAAGGAGGCTGAAAGAAGCGGCTGGGAGATGCAGCTGGGGAGGTGGGCAGGTCATGGCCAAGGATCCCTGTTGGCCTCCATGACAGCTTTGCTCCCCTCGTCCACACCCGGACCCTCTGCCTGCCTGACCCCTTGTCCACCCTCAGCCGACCATCCACATCTGGGAGCATCAGGAAAGCCTCTCACTCACACGGCAGAGGACCTGGGAGCCCAGCAGAACACAGACTCCTCAGGAAGCCGGGAGAGAAAGGCCAGGACTTGGGTGAGGGCCAGGGCTGGTCAGAAGGGAGGACCCTCTAGGGGGAATTTCATCTCCTCGTTGAATCTAGCCAGGCTCCCACCTGCCCTGTATCCCTCACCCTACCACCCACACGGCCCGTGCCAATCTACCCAGCCAGTCTTGACCCTTAGAAACAAGTTCCGGCAGAGCCCCTCTCGGCAGAACCATTTCTTGGCACAAAACCCATGACAGATTCAAGTGGCTGAATTCTTCCATTTTGGTCCTAGATTCTGCTGCAGAAAAATGTCTCCCTAACAATAGGCTTTCTCATCGGAGCTTCTCACATGGCGTTCTTAAACTCTGGCTCTCCCTTTATAGATGGGAAACAGAGAAACAGAAGGACTTGCCCAGGGTCACACAGCCTGGATCTCAGGACCCAGAGGCTCTTTGGAAAAACCCCGATAACGGAGATGGCCAAGATCTCCCCAGATGCCTTTGGCCTGAAAGGGCTTCAGTGTCATGGGGCTGAGCGCAGCTCAGGAGCCGAGCTACTGGCCATGGCTGCAGCCTCTGAGACCTGTCTCTGTTTCCTTCGTGTCCTGGGGGAGAGGACAGAGGGAGAACTCACCTCTGCAGATTCCAAGCCAAACAGAGGCTGCTATTAATCAATAGAGAAGAAGTAACGAAACATCCAGGCCCTAAAAAGGGATGGGGGTGGAGTGGTGAATCGTCACGTACCAGGTTGTGTGGCCAGTCCATCCTGCGAGCCAGGCGATCGGCCTGCAGCTGCCACCCGCCTGGAACCCCAGATGCCTCCGCCAGGAGAATGGCAGCAACAGGACGGCGCGAAGCAATTATAGCTCGTCAGGGGGTTGCCGGGGGAGTGGGTGGGTGGGCTCGTCATCGCCTGGGAGCCTTGGGCCCCCAGCTGGCTGGGCCTGGCGCAGTGGCAGGCGGTGAGGGGCGTGGGGGCAGGCCAGGAGCTGGGACGAGGTGCCCAGGGGCTGTTGACTGAGGGACAATGCCCTGTGTGTCTGATGGGGCTCTGGCGGGTGGTACCTCCGCCTGTGGCCTGCGGCCGGCCGCCCAGCCAGCACCCACAGGGCCGCCTGAGACAATCGGCTTCGTTAGTTTGGGGGATGGCAAGGGGGCAAGGGTGGAGGAGGGACAGGCTGTCCGTTGGTCAGGAGATCAAATGTTCTCAGAGAGAGCTAGCCAGGAGTGGGACACAGGCCCCATCTCCCAGGGAAACAGCCTCAGGCACTCCGGCCTCAGCCAGCCTCAGGTGAGCTCCGTGGCCCCAGTACACGGGTAGTTCACAGGAGGGGAAACTGGGGCCAGGGTGAAGAAAGGACTTGTCTCGGATTATACAATGAGTGAGAGATGACAGAGCTGGGGTTCGTATCTGGTCCCCATGTGGGGCTTTATCCACCACCCCACTCTGTTTTTCTTGGCATATTTTCTGCACAATTCTGGCCTGCTATGAACATGTTTCTGAATCTGTGTGCTCTCACGCAGGCCAAGTCACGGGTTCGTGAGGACTTCACGGCCGGTTGTCCTGGCCTTCTGGATGCAACGCTCCCCCTCGTGTAGAGAAGGTCTCCACTCCAAGGGCCTACCCCTGTGTGGCTGCTTGTGACTTCCATTCTCTCTCAGCCTCAGTTTCCTTCTCTGTAAAATGGGAGTCGTACCCAGGAATCGACAGTGGCCTGGCCCATCTCTCCCTGAAATCTTTCTGAGTCTCAGTGCCCCCATCTCTAGGATGGGGATGTCATAGTAGCCACCTCTCAGGGCTGCCACGAGGAGTAAGGGAAAGAACGCATGTTAAACAACTGGCACAGTGCCACGTAGTATGTGCTCAATAAACACAGCTGTTTATTATGAATGTTATCATTATAAAATAATTGTATAATTGTTACTGGGAACGTTAGCATCAGAGCAAAGCACGGTTCTCATTGCTCAGCCAACTCTCCTTTCTATCCCCTCGGGCCCACCCTCATGGCTGAGAGACTTCTGGGCTTCACAGGCTCTGGCCACAATTTCATGAGCTCAGGTGACCCCAGGGTCTACACATCCTGGAATCATGGGCTGAACGGACCAGCGCTGCTGGTCTGGATCTCTCCCCTTGAGTGAGCAGCCCAGCTGAATGTGAGCGAGCAAGTCCCCCCCCGCCCCGCCCCGCCGGCATCCGGGGGATGGAGGAGGGGGTGGAAGGGGGTGTGAAGAGGACAGGGGAGGGACACCGTGAACAGGCATCCAGGACTGCACCGTCCTACTCAGGGCCACTCTTGGCCATTTACAGGAATCACCAAGGGAAGAACGCAGGGTGCAAGGCGCTCCTGAATGTCACAAGATTAATCTGTCCGGGGCAGGTTTCCACAGCATAACTGAGAAGCTGGCTGAGGCTCGAGCTCATGAGAGATACCACCATATTTGGTCAAATACTAGACAGGGCTCTATTCTACCACTGGAAACTCCAGAGGGAGGGGGACTCTGAAAATACTTCCTCAAGTAACAAGGCCCCCAGTCCCACCCCAGGCTGTCCCAGCCCCACCACCACTGTCCTTTGAACAAGTGAAACAGCCAGCACGAGGGGGCGAAGGATGGGGGCAACCTGGCTGTAACCTGTGCAGCCTCCTTGCTGTCCCTCTGCTGCTGCTGCCGGTGGGGTCCAACAGACACGCAGCTGGGGGGGACACATCCCTTTATCCACAGAACGGTGGAGAAATTAAAAGATGGGGATTGGGCTGCTAGGGGGTTCCTCTGCTTCTCAGGACCCCTGAAAGCATCACACTCTCCTTACCTGCTGGCGACACACACTGCTGGCTTCCGTCTCCCAAAGACAGGACTTGGCCGCCTCAGCTTCCAACTTCACGTAGATTCCAGGGTCCTGGGCCCAGAGTTCTGATGGGGCGGGCCCAGGAATTTGCACCTTAACAAGGCCCCAGTCTGGGAGCTATAGGGGTCCTCACCCATCCCCTAGCTCATTCCCTGCCCCACCGCCATTCTACCACAAGGAGACCAAGGCCCAGGGAGGGACGGGTCTTACCCAAGCTCACACAGCATGTGGGTGCAAGGTGGGGTAAGGCTGGTCTGAGCACAATTCAGTCTTCTAATTCTTACTAGTTTTCTCCAAACTTTATACATACAGCTCTGGGCTGGGCTAGGCCTCTTGGCTGCTTATGTGGGAACCTAGGAGCCAGGCCAGTCCCTCTGGGAGTCCCAGAGCCCCCTCAATGTGGAGGGGGATCTGTGTGTACCCAAGCAGGTACAGTGGGGAGTCAAGGATGGGCCCAGGGACCATTACTGGGTTTCCCATTCCTGGGCCATCTCAGGCCAGGAAGGAGGCCCATTCTTCCAGCCTTGGTTTATAGAAACCAGTGAGAGGTCATCAGCCCTGAAGGATATCCTGAGGGTGAACCCTGGCCAACCACGTAGAGACCCTACCCCTCAGGTCAGAGCCAGGCCTGAGGGAGGCATGGGCACTTGGGCTTCAGGGGTCTCTGCCCCACAGCAGAGTTGGGGTCCTTAGGTCTTTTCTCACAGAAGGTGGTCAGCACAGGGGAATGAGGAAAGGGGTGGATGGGCTGGAGGGTGAGTGTCAGGGAATGGTCGTACTCAGAGCCACCAGGTCCGTGAGCTGCCGCCCAGCTAGGAGCAGTTCTGTACTCACCACCAGGTGGCGCCACCAGAAAGCCAGACACCTCCAAGGAGCAGGCAAACCCTGGCAGAACTTCCGTGCCAGCCACCCCTTTTCCCTAGAATGGACCCTGGGCTGAAAACGAGGGAACCAGGTAAGTAAAAGTCCTTTGCCTGCCCCCGGCTGCCCAAGTAACCCTACTGTTGATGAGGACCAGTGTCCGGGACACCTTCCACATCAGATCAGGAACAGCACGACCAGCCAAGAGTGAGGGGGCAGAGGTGGGGAGGGTTGGGGGCTTCTGTCTGCTGTGTCAGTGATTCCCTTCACTTGGAGCACCTACCACGTGCTAGGCCCTAAGCATCTGGCACCTGGACACCGTAATTTTCAGAAAGAAACAATTAGCAATAATAGCTGCTGTACAATTCTACTTACTGACCACCAGGCACTGTGCTAAGTCCTTCATGTGCATTGTTTTATTAAATCCTTCCAACCACCTTGTGGTGAGGTCCTAATTTTATCCCGAATCTATGGATGGGGAAACTGAGGCTCAGAGAGCCCAAAGTCACAGAGCATTCACAAGTTTGTCTGATTCCTGCACGTGCTGTTCCCTGCTGTGCGGGAAGGAGAGGAGCATCCCAGCCAGGAAGGAGGCAGGAATGTCCAGGAAGGAGGCAGCTGATCATCAAGGAGGATCTGTGCTTGCCTCAACCTCACCCTGACATCTTCAAACCAGATCCTGCATGTCAGGGAGGTCACTGAGCCCAAGCCCAAACTAGAGTCCTCCAAGAGGATCTGAGAGCTCCCAGGGTGTGGGCATGGCACCCAGCAATGTTCCTGGCACACTAGGCATTCACTAAATACTTGATGCATTGAATCAAAACAGCCGTATGTATGTGATACAGGGTGATAATGCTGGGATGGAGCATGGGAGCCCAGAGCAGCGGGGACCTGGAGGAGGAGGTGCAGCTCAGGAGGTAAGAGTTCAGACTCCAGAGGTTGACAGACCTGAGTTTTAATCCTGCCTCTGCCAATTCAGAGCTGTGTGACCTTGGGAAAGTTACTTGACTTCTCTGAGCCTTAGTTTCTTCTGCACAGTGGAGATAATGGTAACTTGGCTCTCAGTGGATGGTCGTTGGGACCAAAGACAATGCATGTTAAAGCACTTAGCAGAGCGCTTGACAAAAGTAAGCCCTCAATTAGTGGCAGCTGCAATTGTTACTGTAAGTATTAAAAATAACTTTTGAGTTGGGCCTTCGAAAGGATGCTTCTAGAGTGTTCCTAGGTAGGAGGTGGGGAAAAGGATAGAACCAGCAGAAGAACGTAGAGGTCCCTGTTCCCAGTGGGCCCACCCTGGAGCCTCGGCTGGGCCAGGAAGGCCTGCGGGATTCGGTGTAGAGATTTGCCCAAGTGGACCCAGTAAGGTCGGGGAGGCAGGAGGAGACTAGCAGGCGCCTCTACTGCTATATGGAGGGGGGCTGTGGCCAGGAGGGCACATCCTCCACTGGAGGTCTTGGCTCTCCTGCCGCACTGCCCACCCCACCCCACCCCCACCCCCTTGGGGTAGGAGTCCTTCTCCCAGGCCCATATTTGCACAAATGCCTCCCTCACTGCTCACTCCAGAGCCCCAGCCAAGAGGCACTATTTTAAGCTCCCTGGATGGGAACGCTGTTGGTGGGAACAGACCCAGCCAGAGAGCTCCCAGTTCTCAAAAAGGGCAAGGCCTGGGTGAATGGGCGGCCACTGGATGTGCAGAGGGTCCGCCGCATCCACATGACCCTCTGCCCAGGCCAGGCGCCAACACCTCCTCCCCCAGGGGAGCAGTCAAGGAAATGCGAGTTGAGGAGGACTGCAATGGGTGGGCTTGTGCTCTGGGGCTGGGTGTCCGAGGCCTCCCTGCCACCCAGCATCCAGCCTCGAGAACACCAAGTTTGTGTCTCTGGGTCGCGGATTGACGCTGGGGAATATCTTGTGTAGGAACCTCTTCTAAAGCATCTTTGCTAGACACGTCCAGTGTAGGGAGATCATTCATCTCTGAGGATGCACATCCCGCTTTTTAAAGCTCTCGATGTTGAACATAATAATAATAATGATACAAGTTTTCTCTTTCGTTATGCTACAGTGCCCTCCTATCATGCACTATGGTGTAGAGGGAGACTGCAGACTTCAGAAGTGATGCTTGGACACGTGCTCTGCCCCTTCTAATGTGGCCACATCCATTCTTCCTAACTTCAATGAGCCTCAGTTTCCTCCTAGGGTTGTTAAAGTGGCCTTATCATAAAAATTATGATTTTCCTGGCATACAAAGGGTACTTAAGATTTGGCCAGTTTGGGCTACTTTTATTGTAATGTGGTTGGTTTGTGTGTGACTGTGTTTGTTGTACGGTGTTTTTGTGTTACGTGTGCTATTTTTGCTTTTGGATTGTGAAAAACCAGTATAGGCTAATATATAAAGCACACACTCTGAACTAAAGCAACTGAACCCCAGCCCCTCCACAAAACTGCTGGGTCACCTTGGGCAGGTGGCCTAACTTTTCTGAGCCTATGTGTCCTCCTCGAGAGGAAGGAGAATTTAATGGGATAATGCACATAAAGCACCTGGCACAGTGTGGGCTCGGGGAATGGCCCTGCTATTATCTCATTGTACACATTATTCTTAGCTGTGCTCAATCAGCTCACACTGAACAATTCTAGAACAACTTTTTTCGAACACTTTCCAGCTGCCAGAGTGCCAGTAATAGAATGGACTGCCCTGAGCTCCCCATTAGCCAAGGTGTTTTAGCAGAGGCCAGAAGACCAGCTGTGAGGGAGATGCAAAAAGAAGAGAGAGTTGAGCTTGGCGAGCTTCGAAAGTTCCCTTCCAGCCCTGAGAGGTCGAATCTTACGTCCAAGGCCTCAGGCCCCATGTGGGGCTGTCCTGCCTGCCTCTACTTGCCCAGACCTAGACAGGAAGGAGCCCAAGGGGGCCCGTGAGGGATGTGGAATAAACAGCCTGTCCCCAGGGCAGATGGAGGCGCCGGGCCCCCTGCCCACCAACACATCCTCCCCTCAGTCCCGGGGGATGTTTATACTCTGGTCAGAGTTTACAGGACGTCTGAACTTACAAGATCCAGAGTTCTGATCTTCCCCCACAAGCTGTCAGCCCCTCCTCTTGCTGGGTGGGTCTGCATCTATTTTGGGTGGGAAGCCCCATCCTCCAGCGGAAGCAGGAAAAGGGTACAACATGAGAAATGTTCTCTTCAGACCCCCAGAGCCCAGACCCCGGAGGAAGAAGAGCTTGTGCTGTGGAGGATGAGGGGAAAAGGGGGTGGTGTCTCCTGGCTGTTTATGGGAGAGGAGTCCTGGGAGGGGGGACACTTCCCCTGCAGCTTGGGTTCAAAGGCCTGCTCCCCCAACACAGCTAATAACGGATGGTACTTACCAAAGGCTGACTTACCTATTGGCTTCAGCTATTGGCTCAGGTAGCGCTGTTTTTATTGTGCTGGTTTTGGTGTATATCTGCGTGACTGCGAATTTGCGGCTACGGTCTTGCACGTGCATGTTTTGTTTTACTGTTTTTTTTTTGAAGAGTCACCAGGTGGAAGCTTCTTGCAGGCAGCGGACATGCCTTATTCACACGTGCTTCTCAGCGCCTGGCTCAGGAGCCTGGGCCCCCACTGCGACCAGAGCAGGACCTGCAGAGAGAACAGAGAAACCCTGAGGCTACTCACTACCCACCACTTGGGGGACAGGCAGCGACTCCAAGACGCATCACCTCACATGTCAGCAAGGAGCCCTTATGGCCACAGCCAAGGCCTCCATCCCCACCCTGCCTCCCCCACTGGAAAACAGCCTCTTTAAAAACTTACAGGCTCTTAGAGCTGCAGTGAACCTCAACCCAGGCCTCCCTGCAGAAGCTTGTCTCTGTGGCCTGAACCTGTTGGGAGACAATATTGAGAAGCTGCCCCAGGTGGTGGTTTAAATATCTTGTCTGAGAGGCTCTGTAAGTTTCTAGGAGCTGTGGCCTTCAAGGTAGGGGCAATGAAGAGCCTTGGGAGGTCTCGAAAAGGGTTTATTCCCTTCATTTATCAAATATAGGGACTTCCCTGGTGGTCCAGTGGTTACAAAGCCACCTACCAATGCAGGGGACATGGGTTCAATCCCTGGTCGGGGAACTAAGATCCCACATGCCACAGAGCAACTAAGCCCGTGCGCCACAACTACTGAGCCTGCACTCTAGAGCCCGCGAGCCACAACTACTGAAGCCTGTACGCCCTAGAGCCTGCATGCTGTAACTACTGAGCCCACGCGCCACAACTACTGAAGCCCGTGCACTTAGGGCCCGTGCTCCGCAACAGGAGGAGCCACCGCAATGAGAAGCACGCACACCGCAACCAAGAGTAGCCCCCGCTCACCGCAACTAGAGAAAGTCCATGTGCAGCAACGAAGACCCAATGCAGCCAAAAAGATTAATTTTTTTAAAAAAGTGTTTTTTTAATTAAAAAAATCAAAACAGTTTCTGAGCTCATGTTCTTACAGAGGATGGTGGAGGTAACAGTACCAACATTTTAGGACCAGCCTGTGACTTAGGGCTGTTGCTGGGTCCCTCTCCTCTCAGTCCCCTGTACCCTCTGTATCCGTGGAAACTCCCTCATTTCCTGGGAAGCCCATGACCTCAGCCCTCGGGGCATGTGGAGGAAGGTACAATGTCTCCAGAATGTGAAATCTTGCCAAATTTCCATTGGAAGGTCGGTTCTCATAAATATTGTATATTTGTGGAGAAGGAGGAAGAAGTGGCTAGCATGGAATCTGACCATTTCCAAAGTCTGGTTCCCAACAAAGAAGCCTCGATCATTGTTCTACTGTTAGAAGACAGAGTCAAGGTTTCTGGCCCTGGGAGACAGAGGTGGTCCAACCCTAGGACCCAGGCAGATGCTGCAAGTAGTTGCCTAGTGTTAACAGTGATATCCCTCTTACACTCATAGCACTCTACAGTTTACAAAGCACATTTATATCCGTGACTTTATTTACTCCCGGCATCAATCCCACGTGAATATCAGATTTTCACAGAAGACAAAATTGAGGCTCAGGGAAGGGAAATAACCTGCCCATATTCATATAGTGAGGAAAAGGGGGCAGAGCTTGAGATGAAAGGCTGGGCCTCTGAGACCACTCTTGACTCCAACCCCACCCTAACCTTTTTCCCAGTTAGGGAATGAGCATTGGAAGTAGGCCGTGGTTAGAAGTGGGCACCCTGTCATTAGGCAGTGGACACAGAGCCAAAGGCCAACCAAATCATTTCTGATATGGCCTGGCTGTGCTCTACGGACAAACTTACATTAGAGGGAAATGTGTCTGGCGAGAGGGCTCAGTGCGCAAGGGATATGTTTTCTGAGTCAGCTCTGGAGAAAGTTCAAGGGTCAGGGTGACCCCAATCTCCCTCTCCACCAGCAGTGTGCTCTTGGAAAAAACTGGAACTGTTTGGCTCTTCAATCAAGCAATCACATAGCTATGTCCATAATTTTTTGTCTTCCATATTGGGATTCCTTTGCATTCTACCTCATAATCTCAACCACAGAGCCAGCTCTGACTCTGTCATTCCAGAATCACTTACAAATCTTGTTTTTTAGACCAATTCTCAGAATCACAGGCTCAGTGGGACCCTACAGATCATTTTGCTGGCGTCTCAGTGATAGCCCTATCACATGCTCCCAAGGTTCTTATTAATCTCTACTTGTTTTAAATGTCTACCTCCCTGCTCCTTCCATCTGCTGACGACAAATTTCCTTTTGAGAATATAAAGAACAAAGCTTCTCCCTTTGCCTATGACAAGTAGTATCAGTCAGGATGGGCCAAGTTGTGCTGCATTAACAAACAATCCTCTTGGCGGCTTAGGCCAGCACAGGCGTCTTTCTCACCTATATTACAAGTCCTGTGTAGGCCGCTATGCTCATCAGAATCACTCAACGACACAGAATGACAGAAGCTTTATCACGATACTTTCTTCCACAAGCACCATAATGGAATCAGAGGTATGTAGGCAGTGGATTTACAGCAGTCAATCATGGGTTCTGGAGTCTTAGCTCCAACCACTTATTTCCTTCAGGCAAATTCTTTCATCTAAAAACATTGTCAGTTTTTTTATCTATAAAGTGAAGATCATGACAAAGTACCTACCTCACAGATTTTCTGTGAGGTTAACCAAAAGGATGAATGTAAACCCTTAGCCCAGAGTCTGGTTCATAGAAAGAATTCAATAAATGTCAGTTATTATGTATAATGTTAACATAGTATTATGTTAACTTAATAATGCCTACCATCTCCAGACAGAACAGTGCTCCTTTCCACTGTTCCTCATGTTGACCAGTTTGAATTCCTTCGAAGAGTTCTTTTTTTTTCTGCAAGTCATTTTCACATTATTTTTATGCATTTTATCTCATGAGAGAGGCCCTAAGCGTTCAGAGCTGAGGCACAAAAGGATACATCCGTGTGTCTTGCCAACCCCAAGCAATTTATCCAGTTCAAGATACATTACCAAGTCCTTCTGAGGAGTCCAGGGAAGGGAGGTCAAATCTGGAGAAGAATCCTGGCTTGAGATTCAACCCTATGGTAGAGAGACACAGAAATCAAACTGTAGAATGTCAGAGTTGGAAGAGACATTTAGAACAAGCAAGTCTCATCATGTCTTCTCTTTTACAGATGGGGAAACACAAGTCCAGAGAGGGAAAGGGACTGCTACAATGTCACACAGCAATTCAGTGTCAGAGCTGGGGCCAGAGCCCACTTCCTTTAATCCCAATCTTGGGGCTTTCTGCACATCACGTAAGGAGATAACATTCTCTACCACTGGGTGAGGAGGGGGCAGATCTCTCAGAATTATGGCTTGTCCTCATTTCACAGAGTTGTACTCCGACAGAGTTGTAAAGTTAAGAACTTTATAAACATTACCTTATTAAGGCTTCTTGGAAACCCAAAGTCACAGCTCCTCTGGGTCATGGGACATGCGTTGAGCATCCAGTGAACAAACAAAGGGTAATGTTACATTTTTCACTTCGTTTAGGAAACCTGGCTTCTAATTATAGGATTTGTTTAACAGTGCCGGGGTGGTTTACGAAGGCCTGGAGTCAGCCTGCAGTCCTCAGGGCTGCTGAGGAGTGTCAGATGGGCAGACACGGATGGGGTGGGGGTGGGTAGCAGGGAGGGGACCTCAGCAGCAAAGGGGAGAGAGGGATGAGCAAAGTCAACTTAAGCTGAGGCCTGGAGGGGGCTATTAATTTTCCCTAATCCCATCAACCAGGTTGCTCCCATTTGGAAATTATCTCCAATAACCCCACCCTGTTACCATAACGTTTCATATCTGGGCAGTGCATCAATTTGCTCTGTGGCAAGCAGGTGAGACAAGGACCACATAACTCTTGGGTTCTATGAACAACTGAGCCCCCTGCAATAGCAGTCAGGATTAGTGTCCCCCTCCCTGGGGAAAAATGGAATAGGAGCTGGCTTGATCTCCATGGTTATTTAAATAAATATATTTTAAGTAAGGTATTTTTTAAAATAAATCTTTATAAATTTTGTAAAGTACTATAATACGAATGTATTAGATGCCCTTAATACAAATAAAAAATAGAAATTAGAAGTAAAAATAGAAGTCTGTAATATTATATACAATAACTGTATATATAACTATAGTATAGACTATAACTCAGCCCCTTTAGTTAAGCTCATTACCTCAATGTAAATCAGGAAAAAATCAAAACCAGAAAACTACAATGAAGTAAGGCAAAATCACCCAAATTCCCACATTCTTGCAAACGGCTAACAGTGCATTTTCACGCACATGTGCAACCACACGCACACTCACACATGTTACAGGGTGTTCATTGGCACCATTCAGGGTGCGATTACTGCAGCTCAATTGGTCCTCAGACTTCAAATGTTCAAGGCCCATATGCCTGTAAGGGCAGGAAGTCAGACCTGCAATGTAGCCACTCTCCCCAAGGTTCTTACCATCTTCCTCTTATGCACCCAGGGGTCCCCCTAGTCCTTACAGGTGTCTTGGGGGTGGGGTCAGTGTTGAGTCCCATCTGGTGCTATATCAGTGTGCTGACAATGATAGAAGGATATGAACGTCCAAGCAGAATCTGGTCTTGGTGAGTCATATCCCAAACTGTGGGTCATGTTCACAACTCCCAAAGGGGCCACAGAGGTGAAAGCTAATATTCTCCCTAGACCAGGGAAGGGCTCCAAGCTAACTGCCCAGGGCCCTTCAACAAGGGCGAACCTGTCCCACTTCCTATCAGCATTTGTATACCAGGGAGTCACAGAATTTTTGAGGGCTGTGCCACACCATTGTCCCTCCCCTACAACCACTTTTCCCTGGCAATCAGCACAAAAGGTTTGTTACATCCCTCTCCCTGCCTTTCCCAGAAATACTCCCTTCAGGCAGTTCATAATGACCTTCTGTCCTGATCTGTCCGTGCAGTGGACTAAAGGACAGACAAAACACAAACTTAACCTCCAGCAGGGCACCTTACTACATCCACAATTACCCCTACACACAGACACATCATTTATTTTGTTATGGTAAAAATATGCATAACATAAAACCGAACATTTTAACTATTTTTTTAATTAATTAATTTATTTGTTTTTATTTTTGGCTGCGTTGGGTCTTCATTGCTGTGCGCGGGCTTTCTCTAGCTGCGGTGAGCGGGGGTTACTCTTCGTTGCGGCGTGCGGGCTTCTCGTTGCGGTGGCTTCTCTTGTTGCGGAACACGGGCTCTAGGCACGCAGGCTTCAGTAGCTGTGGCACATGGGCTCAGTAGTTGTGGCACACAGGCTTAGCTGCTCCGCGGCATGTGGGATCTACCCAGGCCAGGGCTCAAACCCGTGCCCCTTGCGTTGGCAGGCAGATTCTTAACCACTGTGCCACCAGGGAAGCCCCCATTTTAACTATTTTCAAGGGTACAATTAAGCTTTGAAAAATTGATTTGATGACAATTATAAGTACTTCTTCACTAATTGTCTCTTACTTACCTCTCAGAATCAAACTCTGTCAATGAAACAAAAACGTCTTATGCTCATCAAAGAAAACACATGGAGCTTGATTTTGTTTTTAACTCTTTTTTAAAAAGTAATTTTATTTATTTTTATTTTTGGCTGCGTTGGGTCTTCGTTGCTGTGCGCGGGCTTTCTCTGGTTGTGGCAAACGGGGGGCTACTCTTCATTGTGGTGTGCGGGCTTCTTATTGCAGTGGCTTCTCTTGTTGCGGAACATGGGCTCTAGATGCCCAGGCTTCAGTAGTTGTGGCACGCGGGCTCAGTAGTTGTGGCTCGCGGGCTCTAGAGCGCAGTCTCAGTAGTTGTGGCGCACGGGCTTAGTTGCTCCGTGGCATGTGGGATCTTCCCGGACCAGGGCTCGAACCCGTGTCCCCTGCATTGGCAGGCGGATTCTTAACCACTGCGCCGCCAGGGAAACCCTGGAGCTTGATTTTTTAACAGCACTTTTCAAATCATATGTTCCGAATGATCACCTCTGAGCTGTGCCTTTCGGGTCGAATTAGCACGAAGTCAGGGCTGGGGGTTAGGGACAGGTTGGAGGTGAGAACATGAAGAGTGAGATAAAGCTCATAGGACCTCAGGGCTGGAAGGGACTTGCCAAGTTGTCATCAGCCTGTTTGCATTCCTCTAGCATCACAGAACTCATCACTTTACCAAGACAGCCCATCAGTCCATCTCATCCTTGAGTTAATCCACTGACTCAAAAAAGTCCTTCCTGCATAGCTCTAAACGCCACCTTCCTGAAGGTTCTAACCGTATCAGCTCAACCTCTTCATCGATCACCTGTAGAGGTGGAGCAGCTCTGCCCGGCCCCCTGAGTCTCCTGGTCTTCAGGACCCTCACCCTCCTGCTAGGGATTCCCTTGTCCCTGACTGCACACACCCTCTGAGGACACAGAACTCATCAAACACACTCTCATACCCAGCCCTTAACAAGAAGCTCCCCTCACCTCCTAAGATGTCTTATTCACACATACAAAGCCAGAGTCTCACTGACCTGTTTCCTCTGGGAGCAGAGGGATTTCACGGCTGCCTTGCCACAGTGTGGAAAGAAAAGCCACTTCACACAATGGTTAATAGACGTAAAGCACTAGTAACTCCCAGGAGAGGGCACGGGAGGAAAGAGAAATGGCTTCAAAAATGTTTGAGACAGATATATGGACACTGAGTCACATATGGCTGCCGTTTAGTCAGCCTTCTGAGACATTTTGGTGCCAGGACACCTCCCCTCCCAGGACCTGCCTGCAGGTTGCTTCTGTTCCTTGTTCTCGCCTCTGGTAACAGACCTTACGATAACGGAGACTGTTGGCTCACAGGGGTGGCCAACTCATGCTTGGCCAGGCACAGAGTTCTTGGGTGTTGAAATGGTGGGCCTTTCCATAACTCATACTGGTTACTTTTCTGTTTTCTTTTCTGTCTTGATGTAATATCTCTGATGCTACAGTAGCACAAGTAATAGAAGCATAACAAGTTTCACAGCCTCCAAAGTGGACCTTCCATAATTTCGATGGTTCCGTTGGGCTGGCTTTATCTTCACCCTGGGATCTGCTGGTGGTGCTTTGGAGTGTCAAACCAGAACACTGAACAGGAGAGGGGAGCAGGGGTTACAAGCCTTCCCTACCATGATCTTACAACCCAGGGGTGCGCTTGTGAATGGTATCCATCTTCTAGGTTCAGGAGGGAAGGGGATGACATGAATGGCAAGCCTGCTGTGTGCCAGGTGTGATGTCATAACCCTTAAAATAAATACCTGGCATTTACTGAGCACTTACTCTGGAGCTGCACAGGGCTAACCGCTTCGTAAGCATGGTCTCGCTTCGTCTTCACAGCAATCCTGGGAGGTGGGGGCTCTTTCTGGCCCCATTTTACAGAGGAGGAAAGTGAGGTTCACAGATGTTAAATACAGTTCCCATCCCCACTCCCCGTGGGAAGCAGCAGAGGCAGTACTGAGCACAGTCTGGCTCCATATTTGACCCATCCCCTAGGACTGCAGGGGCAACACCAAAAGGCAGGCCCTATGTTTCCCATTTCACAGAGGAGTAAAGTGAGGCTCAGAGCAGCAGTTGAAGAACTGTGCCCAGACCTCACAGCTAAGAAACAGCAAAGGCAGGAACAAACACACAGGCCTCCCGACAAGAGAATTTTTTCCTCAGAAGGAACAAAGTTAGGGTGAAGCTCCTCCTACTAGACTGGGAGCCTCTTAAGGTCAGGGACGGTGTAGGGTTCAGCACCCCACACCCCTGGAGCTGCCCCGTACAGGATGGTCTGAGGCCGTGTGCTGGAGGGAATCCTGCGCTGAGGGAGGGGAGAGAGAGGGAAGCAGTCCCATGTGGACCAGAGGTCCAGGGGACTGTGGATGAGAACGTGAATGAAGGTAGCTGGGGTCCAGCCAGCCTGGCCACAGAAGGGAATCTCTGAGCAACAAGGCCACTGGGAGGAGCCCTCCTCCAGCCTCAGCGGCCACTCCTATGCCCACAGCCGCCGTCCACAGACATCTTCCCGGCTATCCCTCACAGGCACTGCAGGAGGCCTGGGGACTCATACCC